AGTAGGAGAGCACTTCAGTCTCCTTGGACACTCAATAAGACTTAAAAGTTGTCATTCTTCAACAAAAAAACTTCAAAAACAGACTTCAATGAGAATGTGCAGAACTGGAATTAATTTGCAAACTTGACACCATCAAAGTAGGCCTGAATAAAGACTGGAAGTGGCTGGGTCACTACAAAAAATAATTTTCCCTCTGATACTCACATCTTTCTGTAGGAAACAATTCAACCCTGGCATGGAGATGGACAAGACAACTTATTAGGTATTTTCCATCTCTTAGCCACATACTTCTAGCGTACAGATGTGGTATGTTGTGTCAGTATTGTTCAATGGAATGCTAACCAGGCTAGAACAGTGGTGATAATATAGTCCTCTTCCAACACTCGCTTGTGTCTCCCACCCTTTCCATCAAGAAGATGAAGAGGAGTTGTAGGGAGACCAGTACATGCCCTGAGAAAAGTAGGCTAATCCCCTACCAACGCCTCAGAATGGAAGTGTTCTGAATGGTGATATTATGCACCATCTTTCTTGTTGCAGGTAATCTTGTGCGAATTATACCACATGGGCTGCTGGTGTTCTTCCCTTCGTATCCGGTCATGGATAAAAGCCTGGAATATTGGAGAGTATGTTGGTTCTTTGTGTATGAATTGTAGTTACACACTTTGGACCAAATTTTCACAAACAGGTGCTTATATTGGAGTTCCCAGTACTGCAGTCTAGCACTGACTTGCCCAAATACTTATTTTATGTATCTCTGTGTTCATATACATTTATTGTCTATATTGTGACGTAAGGTTGTGAACAGCACTCTCTAGACAAATAAGCCCTAGCTTAAAAAAAGCTGTCATAACACAACAGACGCTGAACAATGAGGGAACTGTGGAACAAGCAGAGCAAGAGATAAAAGAAGCCTGGTTAATTAGGCACGTTTCTACAAATTAATGTATACTTGAGGTGGGACTGGTAGCACCACCTGTTATTAAAGTTGCCCAACACATCCTGTTATAAGACCCTGTTTTCAGTTTCAATAATTTTGCCAAACTTTAACCATTTGGGCTGAAATTCTTCATGACAGATGTCTACCTCAGCCGGAATATTTTGCTTTGCCCATGTTAAAAAATTCTGGTGAGCCCCCTTTTTTTTTTAATGTTCTCTTGCCCCCATGCTTTGAAAGAGGGACTTGAAATTTGGGGTGGCCTTTGTGTCAGGGATTTACTTTTGGTGTCTCTGTGAAAATCCACACAAATTTGACCAAGTTATTAGCCTTTGCAAAATCTCAGTTTGTGCATGCTCAGTAGAGGCTTAGATTTTAGCAGCTAAATTCCCAAAGATTCTGTGCATGCTAGCCATGCTCTAGCCCAGTGGTTTTCAAACTTTTTTTTCTGGCGACCCAGTTGAAGAAAACTGTTAATGTCCACGACCCAATGCAGCTGGAGATGAGGGGCTATGGGCTGGGTGTGAGAGTGAGGGCTGCGGGGTGGGGACGGGAATGAGTGGTTCAGGATGTGGGAGGGGGCTCTAGGCTGGGGCAGGGGGTTAGGGTGTGGGAGGGGGTCAGGTCTCTTGCTGGGGGTGCAGGCTCTTGGCTGGGGCTCGGGATGAGGGGTTTGGGGTGCAGGAAAGGGCTCTGGGTTTGGGGTGCAGGGTTGGGGTGCAGGCTTACCTCAGGCGGCTCCCGGTCAGTGGCGCAGCAGGGGTGCTAAGGCAGGCTTCCTGCCTGTCCTGGCACCGCGGACCGTGCTGCGCCCTGGAAGCGGCCAGCAGCAGGTCCGGCTCCTAGGCGTAGGCACGCAAACGGCTCCGCGCAGCTCTCACCCACAGGCATTGACACCCCCACCAACATGCCCCCCCAGCTCCCATTGGCTGGCTTCCGGCCAATGGGAGTGCAGAGCTGGTGCTCGGAGTGGGGGCAGCATGCGGAGCCCCATGGCCTCCCCGCCTAGGACATGGACCTGCTGCTGGCCGCTTCCAGGGCGCAGCACGGTGTCAGAACAGGTAGGAACTAGCCTGCCTTAGCCTTAACCTACTATTCATAAGACTTACCTGCAAAAGTGGATACGCTTCCATTCCTGGTATTCTCATCACCCTTTGAGAGCCTCAGAAGCTCCGCTCTTAAGGTCCTAGATTACCTGATTCTCAGACCTTGTGTCTTTAAGTCCATGAGCTCAGTTAGAATACACCTGGCTGCTGTTACAGCCTTCCTTTTACCTATAGAAGGGGTTTCAGTCTTTGCCCATCCAACCATGGCCAGATACCTTATGAGTTTATAAATTATTTTCCTCTGTCCAGAACCCATCTCCATGGGACCCTAATCTAATTCCCAATGCCTTGAGGTACCCCCCCTCCCGCGCGCGCGCACACACACACACACACATTTGAGCCCATGACAACCTGTCTTCTTTTCCACTTCTTCCTTGAAATTTCCTTTCTGATAGCTGTCACCTTATAATAAAATAATATATGGAGATATACCTATCTCATAGAACTGGAAGGGACCCCGAAAGGTCCTCGAGTCCAGCCCCTTGCCTTCACTAGCCGGACCAAGTACTGATTTTGCCCCAGATCCCTAAGTGGCCCCCTCAAGGATTGAACTCTCAACCCCAGGTTTAGCAGGCCAGTGCTCAAACCACTGAGCTATCCCTCCCGCCTTGGCCAGAAGAATGGGAGAACTCTGGGTACTCATGGCAGACCCACCATACGCTGCCTTCTACTGTGACAGAATGACGCTGTGCCCCCATCCTCGATTCTTCCCTAAAGTCTTGTTAGAATTTCATATCAACCAAGAGATCGGTTTACTGGTATTTTTCCGAAGCCTCAGACCTCCAGAGAGGAAGTTAGTCTCCTCACACTAGATGTCAGGAGGGCCCTCACCTTCTACCTTGACAGGATCAAAACCTTTAGGCCTCTGCCAGACTCTTTGACTTCTGTGTCAAAAGGAGGAAGGGACAGCCAGTTTCCACTCAGACTGTTGAAGTGGGTTTCAGGTTGTATCTTGACCTGCTATGAAGCTGCTGGCATACATTCCCTTCATAGAGTGACAACCCGCTCCAGCAGGTCTCGGAACACTTCAGTAGTCCTTCTGAAGGATGTCCCTATAACACAAATCTGCAGGGCTGCAACCTGGTCCTCAGTTCACACATTCATCAGACATTATGCTATGAAATCTGCATCCATGGCTGATGCTACCTTTGGTGAGGCAGTCCCCCAAACTGTTTTGGATTTGCCGTCTCAGCACCTGCCTCACTGCTTGTGAGTCGAAGAAGGAGGAGAGGTTATTTACTTGTAAAGTAACTTGAAGTCTTTGAGTTGTTTTCTCCCTATGGGTACTCCACCTACTAACTTTCTTCTCCTCTGCTATGGAGTCTTCCAGGCTTCGTAGTTGAGAAGGAACTGGAGTTGCAGCAGACCTGCATCTCCTTATAAGCCCTTGCCTGAGAGCAGATGCTGCTGCTTTACACAGTCCTCCTGCTTGTCTTGTGTCAAGTACACTATTTATTTGCTTAATTGATTAAGGTGAAGTTTCTAAAGCATGCATAGCATCTCGATTAGCTCCTCATCACCACTGACTTCAGTGGAAACAGAGTTAAACCAATATTGGGACATTTTGGAAAATCTCACCATTTGCTTAAATAAGCACTATACAGGTCCCTTCATATCTGGTCATCTTGGAATATCGTCCTCTTGATAAATGAGCCAAAAGCTAAACAGCTTTTCTTCAGAAGGGACCACTTGAGGCATGCTGAGGCTTAGAAGGGGAGAGCCACAACTTCTGTAGTTTCCCTTATAGAGTGACCAGATGTCCCATTTTTATAGGGACAGTCCCGATATTTGGGGCTTTTTCTTATATAGGCTCCTATTACCCTCCCACCCCCTGTCCTGATTTTTCACACTTGCTGTCTGGTCACCCTGTTCCCTTAGCTTTCTGCAGTACTTTTCCTAGACTAAATCACTAACTGGCTTTCCTCTTGTTCATCGTTGGTATCCTTAATATGGAGGTGACGCCTGGATGACTTGAAGCTGAGTTTTGGTTGGATTCCAATCAATTTGATGGTTTTCTCAGACAGACGTACAGAAGGGTGGTAATACTTCCTAACTGGCTTGTTTTAAAAAAGTTGATAGTAAATAGTTACAAAATCCTTGATAGTAAACTCCCAGTTGGATTATTTTATTTTTCACTATAATAAATTTATTGTAGTTTGTATCTTTCCTTGGTTGCTGTTGCTCATATCCCCTGTCTTTGTTTCTGGCTGAAGTTAGGGATGTTTTTCTAATATGAGTTGTGTGTCCCAGCAGAAGCCCTGGTAGGACGTTTCCCTAGGTAACTGTTGCTCCCCTTCTAAGGTACCAGTGGTGGGGAGCAGGGAACCAGCTGTTCAGTGCAGATTGCAGGAGTAGTATCCAGGAGGCAGATGTTGGGCGCCAAGGGTCTGCAAGTTGAAAGGAAGGAGGTGACCTCACTGCTGGCATGGCTTCTGAAAAGATGCACAAAGCATAGAGAAAGTGTCTTGGCCATTCTGTCTAAACTGCCCGTGTTGGAACTGCTGCCTGGACCCAGCTCATTTCCCTACCATTGGTAGCTGCATGCCCCTGCCGCCAACTCTGGCTGGCAAGAGACGAATAGGTGATGGGGAGCATGTAGTTACCACCACCTGTGGCTTCCTTTCTCATATGTACTTCTGACTTATTTGCTCTCTGTTTAATAGGAGCATGACTTTGCTAAAAGAATAGAAGAGGTGAAACCAATGTTTGTGGAACCAAGGAATAAAGGAACCTTCACAGAGGTTGGTCATTTGTGTTGTGTCTGTCTCGTTTGATAAGTTCTCCTTTTTATGCTTAAATACTTCTCCGAAGATGTGTTTGCAGCAGTGACTACAGAACTGCATGTTGGTGAGTTAAAACCAAGAGAGCTATAAGGGCTCTTCAAATACAGCTTTTCCCTTCTCCTTTCTGCCTTCCCTCATGCTCCATTCTCCTGACGAGAATGCACTGAACACTAATATAGTCATGGTTTGAAATCTGCCTGCGCTTCGGATATTAGTACCATATGTTTAGACATAGGGTGACCAGATGTCCCATTTTTTAAAGGGACAGTCCCATTTTTGGGGTCTTTTTCTTATATAGGCGCCTATTACCTCCCCCACCCTATCCCCTGTCCTGTTTTTTTACAGTTGCTATCTGGTCACCCTGCTTAGATACCATGGTGAAGGATAGGGTAGAAAAGCTTAGCTCAGTCTTTGAGTGCAGCAGTCAGCATTGGAAATCCAACTCTTGGATAGTCTGCAGGCCATTTCCCTCCAACTTGTTGCAGTTTGTTTTTGATTATGAAAATTTTCTATGCAACTGTGAAGTGTATTTTTTATTCAGAATGCTTTTAACTTGGCTGGGCAACACTAACTTTTGCCCAGGGGCTCAATTATTTTAATCAGGGGCACCATCAGAGTCTGCCTTTGTAGAAGGAACTCAACTGGAACATCTTTCCTATGGCATATTCCTTTTCTTCTATGCCAGTATTGAACCCAGTAATTTCCAGTGGGATGGGAAGCCATTTGGTTTGGGTATAAAGGGGCTCTGAAGTGTATCTTTCCATTGGAATCTTAAAAAAAAAACCTGATGCATTTCCAAGGCTCGTGCGTGCGTGCACACACAAAGCAGAGATGGTTTAGAAGCAACCAGAGAGAAGGCAATGAACTCTAGTAGAGGGAAGGGTAACTCCTGCCACTTTTCCATATAAATACTACTGTGTGTGTCTGTCTGTCCTTGGCACAGCTTTGTTTAGATAGTGTTTCTTGGGACTGCATT